AAAACGACTGGAGCTGACTGCGACTCTACGGCTTGTCAGGGTGATGGAATTACCAAACTTGCCCCTATCCCTCGCCCCGTCGCAGCGAAAGCTGTCAAGACTGAGGAGGAAGCCTTCTATAAGAAATACAAGCATGCTCTTAAGACCAAGAGTAGGTTGTCGGGTTTGTGTAGGGGAAGTCTTATTGTTGGTCACTGTAGGCACTAGCGGCTCCAGTGTGACTAGTGTTGCCTATAACCCTGTCAATAGGAGGCAGGTGGTAGTCACTCATGGTACGCGAGTAGAGCTGCTTACGTTGCCGGTTGGGCACAAGCCGGTCGCTACGAGTTATAAGGCGGACATGTTGTGGTCGAAGCATAAGGACTTCACAACGTGTGTGGCGTTTAGGAACGATGGGAAGCTTATTGCGGCTGGAGACGGATCGGGAAGGGTGAACGATTAAGGTGGGGAGATTATTTCCGGAAGTTGTTATTAGATCAACGTTTACGACCTTACGGCCACGAGGAATATATTGCGAAGATTTAGAGGAGGGCATGAGGGAGCGGCCAACTCAGTGTGCTTTGCTTCTCATGATCGAACGCTCGTCTATAGCGCGGGAAAGGACGGCAAAAGTAGCGTCAATTTTCATACCATACTTCTTTCACATCGCGGTTGTATTAGTCATCCAATGGTCATTATCTTCGGACACAAGGACAGCTTCGGAAGGTGGCAGTCTCATTGGCAAGCACGATGACGCTGTTCAAGTCGTCTTTGCCACTACTGCTGGCTCCATCATAACGGCAGGTAATTCACTCCCTCATATACAGTGTTGAAATATATGTTCGCTTTCCTCAGCTGAGCTCAGTAGTTTCTTCACTATATAGAAGTTCACACATGAACTCGAGTAGAAGTGTTCGGAAACCAACAAGAATTTTTTCGATGTTGCCTCCTGCACATCTACTGTGACTTTGTGCATATTTTCTAGTGTGATGAATAACATCGTATCAGGTTATGACGGTTTCGTCCACGTATGGAAGCCTATAGACTCTGAAGAGGAGGAGCAGGACGTCGACATGGAAACTGGAGAGGATAAGGTTCCCGAGCCGGTGAGACTACTCGCTGTTGGCCTCCGTGTTGGAGGAATATATGTTTGCTTTCCTCAACTGCGGACTAGTTATCGAAGTTTACGTACGAATTCGGTAGAAATGTATAGGAATCAATGAGAAATTTTCGAAATTTTCTCAGAATTTTCGTATTGTCATCACCGACATGTGTGGTTGACCATGTGCACATTTTCCCACCCAGATTGGTCTCGACATGCCCTCTCCTCAGGTTAGCAGCTACGCCCATGGGAGTCCAATTGATGCTGCATGCCTATCTCGAAACCAAACGTTGTTGTATGTGGCTGGTGGGGGATTCGTGTCGACCATTGATCTGATTGCTGGAAAGGTCGTCCAGAAGGTAGTATTGTAGAGGTATGTGTGCTGCAGGAAGGTGTTCGCTTCCCTCAGCTGATGTCAATACTTTCCTTACTTATCATTGGAGTTTATATAGGAACTAGGAGAGTGTACAGAAACTAAGGAGAATTTTCCAAAATTTCCTCAGCTTTCATACTGTTACCAACACATGTGGTTGACATTGTGCATACTGTGAGTATGTGTTTGGCAGAGTCCACTTGGGCATAGCAAGGCGGTGACGGGCATGTGCGTGAATGCGAAGGGGGATGTCGTCACTGGCAGTCTAGATGGCACTGTCAAGGTGTGGGATACGGCGGGGCTGGGTGATGACAACGACGAGGAGGAGGAGCAGGGGAAGGGGTGGAAGCTCCTCCATACGTGAGATGGGACGGGAAGTGGCGGAGGAGTGGTATGAGTAGTGTGTTTAGGTATAAATATCAAGGTCATGGTATCACTGATATCGCATGGTCGGGTGGGCAGGGCCTGTCTATGGTTGTGTGCCTCGATGACGGGTCTCTCATCTCGCGTCGCACGCGGCCTCGGGACGGGGAGGTTGATGATGCTGCTGAGGGTAGTAGGGAGTTGTTATGTCCGTGTGAAGTAGTTTCTTTCCTTAGTTCGAGTCTACTACGACAATGCGAGCAGTGGGGTCGGTCGGGGTGTCCC